ATACTTCTTTGAATAATGTCAAGTTCTTTTGTTGTGCAAAATGAAAGTTATTAAAAATGAGTTTATGTTGAATGTTTTCTAGCATTAGTGATATTGGGATGGCTGGTATTTGAATAGAACTGAAGTATTTAATTGTCACTCGCGATATACCGAATTTTCAAAGTAAGCGGTTTACTTTACTTTCACAATCCCCTCCAGTCCTAGTTTTATGTATACGACTTTTCATAAAGAAGAAGGTTCTGTTCGATGATAAGTACAGATCCATTTATACAATATAGCAAAGAAATACATGTATATTGAGTGGATAATATGAAGATGTCAATGATAAACATTATCAAAGGATGTACCAAACTGTAAATTGCCCCAAGTCTAGAGAAGAAAATTAGTGAAACGCTTTTGTACGAAACGAAGTTTTCTCTCCATAGTTTGTACATCTTGTTACATTATTTAACCTATACATGAAAGAATAACATGAATCACCAAAATTGCTGGCAACACAACAGAGTACACCAACCAATTTAAGAAATGTCTTTATTGTTCCATTTAATTCCTTTATTACGACGCCCCCCCCCCCCCCCCCCCCCCCCCCCCCCCCCCCCCCCGGCCCCAATCCACAAAAGGCCAATATTTGATGAACATTTTGAAAACTTTGTCAATTAATGCTAGAAATATAATTTTCATCACGTGTATTTCAAAATAGCAGAAAACTCGAAAACGTATACCTAATTACTTGAAAAACAAAAGGTAAGATGACATCGACAGAGATATCAAAAGCCTCGTATCGAACTCCAACCTACCGCGTCTGAATTTTCCAGTGTACAAATATAACTTCAGTGGCATCCAGCGAATAGTTCCGTGAGATGTGAGATGTTGATACCTGTCCAGGGACTGGATGTGGCCTTAAGTTGAGGAAGAACAATGATAGCATGCATGATAGGATTTTATACTTTGCTTCAAGATATATTACTGCACATCCCTTCGTTTTAATAAGATGATACGATTTAAACAAAACGAAAGACAAACATCTGTACACAAACAAAATATAAAGAATGAGCACTAAAACAAAACCAAACATCACTTGAAGGGTATTTAGTTCCTTCTTGGTTACATAAATCGTGTTGCTCATAACAATCGAACGATAAGTCGTAATAATTGATTTCATACACGGCGATACAAGGAAGGGGAAATTAGTGCCCCAAAGATATATATGAGTGTTCCGTGGATTGTCAATCTATGGAACATTCATATATATCAATTGGGCATTAATTTCACCTAGTGCAATGTACAAACTCATCAAAGATACTAGGCTTATTATTTTGTCAGTTGCGCGTTTCTTCTCTATTAGGTTCATCACTGACGCTCGAATTAAACCGTTTGAAGGCCACATCAAATACGAGGTAGAAGGCGGACAAAAAATTTTGCCCCTGCTTTGGAGAGCCGCATCGGCCTATGCAATTTTCTTAGCGAGGTAGAAGGCGGACAAAAAATTTTGCCCCACAAAGTTGTACACCTTTGAAAACCCTCAAAATTCTCAAAAACATATTGAAAAATACTGATAAAGCAATCTTTACTTGGGGGGGGTAAAAAAAATAGTTCGGACAAAAAGTAAAATAACAAAAATACCGAACCTTAAGGAAAATTCAAATCGGAAAGTCTTTTTAACGATCATATTGCACTTTTTGTATGTATTGCTTTACCTGTTTTCCAGTTTACGGAGTCTTAGATCTTAGGAAATCAGAATAGTCGTCTAACCTGTGGATCTGATTACCCTTCCGGAGCACCTGAGATTGCCACCTGGTTTTATTGGTGGGGTTCGTGTTTTTCAGTTTTTAGTTCTCGATGTAGTGCTTTTTATACTGTTTGACTTTTGGTCATTTTTTTTGCCAAGGCATTGTCAGTGTTCGTGTGTGGACTAGCATGGCGGCGGGTGGATCATAAACAGTAAGGGACGCTTACCCTGTCGACGCACCCGGTCTCGCTCATTTGAGTCATGCGATTTCCTCAGTTTTTGTTTGTTTTTTCGATTTACTAGATTTGAACATAGGTAAACTACTTTTGCCTTGTTTGCACCACACATATAATAGAAGATTTGCATACATTGTTTTTTGGCAATGTTTAGGTGTCTCTGTTAATTTTTCTACTTTCGGCTGGACATCTATTGTCCTTAAATTGTTTGTTTACTCGTAAAAGTTTTTACATATAGATAAAAATGTAGTTTCGGTTTGCAATGTTGGTCATCTATAATTTAGTCAGAAGTATTTGGAATGTATCTAAAAAATAATAATCCTTCTGTGTCTTTAAAGATACACTCAGCTGTTTAGTAATGAAAAATGACTGCACTATTTATTTGTAAACAGGATCATCAAATAAGCGTGAATAAAATATCAACATCTGTGTCATTAGAATTTGAATAAACTAAATTGTTAAGAACGTTTCTATTTTAGTTTGGACAGTCACGTTTTTCGTATCATAAAGTGATCCATGATAATGATGATGCGAGTGGACTTTGAAGCATACATATCAGGATATATAAGAAACATATAAATGAAATATGAAAACGAACCCTGCTTTCAACTTGAACAACAGGCGAAGCCGGGTTTTATCGTGCCTGTTCACAAGATAACGCTCTGCTGGAAAACATGTAACTTAGACATACTATTCTGAAACAGAGCAGACCAGTCTTGCTCTTAGGCCACACCAATTTGATTAATAGTTCTTTGGATTTTCTCCGCTCTTGTTTTGGAGAAATTGACTTTTCAATAAAAAAAATAATTACCGCTTCCGCAAATTTTTGGGCCGCATGCCGCTCAAAATTTTTTTTTCACAGACGTTTTTCTTGGGCATATATCGCTCCGTTCGATTCAAACGCACGTGTGATAAATCGAATTGTAAATAAAAGGTCAAAAATCGGGATGCCAACATGTAGTTGTGTCAGCTCATTGCCGTGGACAAGTAGTTACTCAACACACAGTTATCTGTAATGCATCTCGTTTTATCTTATATGAAGACCTGTTCTAGGAGACAGATATTAAAAATCTGTCTTTAGATGACCACGATCACATCAATGTTCGTTAGAACCATCGTCATCCCGTATCATTGTTTCAACAGACATAGACCTGAATCTGAATAAGTACGTTGCAGGGCCAGGATATGGCATCAATGTCAACGCCAACGGAAGAGAGGCGCTGGCAAATTAGTCCAACGATGTGAGAGCAACCGAAGTTTTAAAGCTCTCAATTGTCTTGGTACACACGAGATTGTTTGGTAGTCTATTCCAATAAAAAATTGTTTTTATAAAGAATGACGGTTTATATTGTTCAGATTTGCTATATGGAATTTTGAAACACCGGCTGCTGTTTTGTACAAATTTAGCTACAATGTTTGCTGTTTTATAGACCTATCTTTCTTGGATGAAATTAATATTAAATTCCCGTGAATTTTAAAAAAATCACAGATTTATCTTATCCATATCCCCTTGTTAGTCTATTGGCATACAAGCAGAAATCTTTTGTAAGGGAATATTTAAGAGTTCCAACGTTCGAGACCAAAGTGGTGGTATTGTGATTGGCATGCTCATAACAATTAGGGATGTGTAATTGGTTCAACCACTTCAAGTCAAGCAAAAGAGTTTAAAATGCATTGCAGCTTTTAGTATTTTGCTGTCAGAGTAATGCATGTGAATGTTGTGACATGTATTTTAAGGGAATATTTTAATACATTAATAATAATAGCAATATAAATATCTTACTCATGATGTTCAAATATTCACCTCACTCATTATGTTGATCCATTGTATGGATAAATAGTTCAAAGTGAACATCAAGCAGCCAATAAACAATCATTACCATATATAGATATAATGAAAACAACTATATAAAAAAAATATTTAATATTTTGCAGGGGCATTTTTTTGATACATCTGACACATATTTAAATTTTATTCAACATATGTCATTAACCTAACTAACATAATTCCTCTTGTTAAACTGCATCTGCAATGCTTCCTTAATATATACACATGTATGAATTTTAATGAAAATTCACGCAGACAAAGCTTATTTGACGAAAAAAATCAAAATTAACTAAACCCCAGCGATACAAGAAAGTTGGGTATGGTTCATGCGCCAAGTCATCAAATTATATGCATTAGAGCATGTTTTTCCCCCTTTTTTTATGAAGTAACCCAGTTTTAACATGTACATAAATTCTAAATCGCACAATAAAAAAAAAATAATACCGCTCGCTTCACTTGTAGAGCACCCCCCTCATAAAAACTCATTTTCAAGAAAAAAATACAATTAAAAAAATTTCGCTCGCTCGCCCCATATTTTTTGGAGCTTTTGTCCGAAGAACTACAAATCAAATTGGTGTGGCCTTACATACCACTTCCTGATCTAAGAAGCAACAAATACTAATTCTCCAATCTTTGAGCCGACCGATGATGGAACAAATGACCAATCGCACTAGTAGCAAGCATGATGCCACAAGACCACTGGGGCGGGTACAATTATCGACATAATTTTGAAAAAACAAACACTTCTTTCTTTGTAGAGTTTTTTTAATACGTCATGTAGTATCACGAAATCATAAATACAAAGTCCCTAGGCATGGTTGACCCCTGACAGGTTTGACTGTTTTCTTCAGAGGGTCATACAATGTGGACTTGTATTTAGTTTCTTTCACTTCTGGTCAGGAACGTACTGGATGAAAGTTAAACAGGAATATGTACCATACTTTGTCAGGTGCTAATTTGAAGGGACAAAAACACTTACAATCTAAAGAAAAATTTTACCTAAATTTTTGCACAACACTTATACTGCTATGCTGTCGAAAACCTGTTCTATGGATTATTCATTAGAGACAGTTTGATTGATTCTATGCAGAAATTTTTTTTTTTTACATTTACCCTTATGTAGTTGTTTTTTGTATTATAGTAAAGATTATATTTTATGTCCAGATTTTCATCTGAGATTATGTCTATCTGAAGAAAAATGTAGACATTAATTGTATCATATGTATTCGTTGTATTTTGTCATTGTTTTATGCACAACAGAAGAATTTGACATTGTTGAGCGCTGTGTCATCTCCGAAAAATATCGGCGCCTCAATATTGGTTTGAAGTCCACATATGGCAGTACCTTGGTTGCATTTTTCGCTCTGATTTCCATAAATACCCAATGATCCCCGTCCAGGTGGATGAGCTAATTCGTGTTCACGATTCAAATCAAAATCTCTACACCAGAATTTTACGTAGGTAGCTGCAACATCGTCTCTGTCTCCTGGCTATAAAAAATATTGATTTCAGGAATTATGATTTAATATAACTCAGAGTTTAATTGTTTTTTATAGTAACTGTTAATTTAAACAGTTTTCATTAGTTTGAATTTGTATTTAATTATTTATTCTTTTTTCCATTCTTGTTTTTTATTGATCTTTTTTTTTCTCAAGAGATTCATGTGAACATTCGATCTAATTCGAAAATGCGAAAAGTAGGATTTTCAAATGAAATAGTAGGAACAGTACCAATGCTACTGCACCATATAATAACAGTCTCTTTGGTGATGTTCGAGGCCAAAATATATGTAGACAATCAAAGCTGTGGTCATGGGAGTTACATTCCATACTTTAAAATGATTACTTAAAATGTATTTACAACAATTTACAACAGAACAGTATCTGTAAGTTCATGCCAGTCCCGACATACTGGGAGCTGGGCTGGTGATATCCTTGGGGACAAACAGTCCACCACCCAGTAGTATCAAATGCATTAACGAATTTTACTGCACTGATGTCCATTTTAACAATGATTATCCCTTCAGTGATACCCGAGGGCAAAACTTTGAAAGTAAATATATCTAATACAAACGTTTTAAAGCCGATTTAACAAGACAAAAGTACAGCCAAATCCGGACAACAATCAGAGCTATGAATGAGAAAGATATCATCCTTAATTACAAATAACTTTCATTATATAACAGCACTTTGCAATGAAGTTCTGACTGCTGTCGTGTGGTGTGTTTTCAAGGGATGTCCATGGGGACTAACAGCGCGACATTAGAGATATAGACTCAGTGGTAGTAAATCGTCAGAAAATATCAAGTTTTTATCGTTCTCTACAAACAGGAAAAACATAAATATTTACCAATAATTCTTCCACTTGTAACGCAAACGATGAAAGATATGTTTGAGTATCATTATAACTATAACTACACATCGTGGCTCCTACCCAGCTTCCCCAGCTCCCCTCACCGGATGTAACTGTACTACCGTAATGGCCGTCTTTTGATCCACATATTAGCTTGATACTGTTAAGAGCCGTATCATCACCACCATGTTGATCTGGTTCAATCTATTCAAATAAATTAATGACTCGGAAATTCAGTTATTTTGAACATCCTTTTCCTGACTGATATATGTAACCATTTCATGATTTTTTTTTTCACTTGAAATTACGAGTGCCTTTTCTATTTGATATGCTTCACCTTACATAAAACCCAATAACACACCAGGTTTTTTTCAGTAGGAAATTAGTTTCATTCTAATAAACCATCCTCATCCTCTATTGCTTTCGAATGTTTCAATTCTAGTTTTCGATTATTAAGTGTTCTTTCATCAAGGGTTGTTAGGAAATACGGTATTTATAGTTTGGATAGTCTCAACATCTTTTCAGAACTCTTAGAATGATCGGTTATTGAAACTGTTCAATTTCAAGCATAAACATGTCTAGATCTGTTTGAAGATAGAACAGTTCCAAATGAACTAACTAAGAGCAGCTCTCTTCTTAAAGGAAGCCATAAGCAGTTCCTATAAGGCATATTTTTTTATAGAAATTTTCCGTTTTTAAGAATAAACATCTTTTTCAGTATGTTAGTTCTTTTATTTTCTATTTTTATGATTGATTTTTAATTAAAAATATTATATGATAATGCATTATTTGTAGAGAAAATAGTTTCTAATATTTGTTAAATAATCTCAAAAATAATATATCTTAGTTGAAAATAAAACCAAATTTAACAGTTTGATGAGTTTGGGGTAATTTTTACAAGGATCCAATACCCAGATCTTCTTTCTGGGTGAATGTTTTGTACCTGATTGAATATTGTGACATTATAGAATCTAGTAATGTAATCATAAATCATTTATGGTTAAGCATTATTTTGCAAATTTAAGATTACTCTCATAAAAACAGTTCATAAAGCTAATAAATAAACAAACAAAAAATAAGGATTGTCATAAGGGTAACACCATCCAAACAGGAAAAAAGACCCAAGACTAAGAAGAATAAAAAAGGGAGATTTGATCAATTAGATATTTTCATGTATTGTTTGTTTCTGTGTATGTATGTATCTAGGTTTGTTTGTTTATTAACATTTTCTCTTTTCATTTTTTTTTTTCAATTGGATTTCCCATTATTTCGCAAATAATAAGCAGCAACAGAGAACTTTTTGAAGAAAAGAGAAACCCTGTGGATGGGTTTATGTTGCTCCTTTGTCAATTTTCTATTAACATTTTTAGTGAAAAAACGTTTTGGTTTATCTTTTTATCGTCTTGAAAAAGTTGAATTCAGCTCAAGTTTAACAAATAAACTCTTTTAAATATAGAAATGAAAATGCAAAACAAAACAATATGGAAGACCATACCTTCATATTGTATCCTATTGCGTAGGTTTCTGCAGGACATAGTTCCAGTGTTGTCCAAGCACCAAATGCGTCTCCGTTGCTTACTGTTAATATTTTATCAATTTGCCTAGAATTTGCATCCAAAAGAAGACAGTTGGAACCATACAAAAGGCTATAAAATATTAAACACCTTAGAATCTCCATGTTTTCTATAACAGTGTGCACCAGTTACCAATAAAGATAAGCATTTATCGCCAGATTGTGCTTTCACATAGCATTACCCTCACAGTTTATAATATATTGTATGCTATTATCAGAACACAAGAAAAAAAGGTTATCTAATTGATACTGCCGTACGAACCTTTTAATTTTAATCGACAGGACTAAACCTAAGACTTGATTTGGGAAACAATAAAACAAAGTTACACTCGAATACTACTTGCACGTCAGAAGCAGATTATTTCTTATTATTTTATTTCTATTTTTATTATTTATTTATTTGGTACGTTATTTCTTTCCTTATTTATGTGATTTGCCTACTTGGATTGGTTAAAATAGTAAATCTCGCCACTAATATGCAACGAACATTCATTATAAAAACCCTTAACATATCATATATAGACGTACAAAAACATTAATGGTACCAATTTTACTGCCCAAGATGAGATTTTCTGCAATTAATGTATCTTTAGTGTTCTTGATGGCAAAACGTGTTAAAAATTCAAAATCTTATACAAGCGTTAAAGGTTGAACTCTGTAAATATAGACAATGCAATTTTCCATAGAAACTCCTTTTAGGGCTAAAACTGTGTCACTTGAAGTTTCGTAAAAAATTATATCCTAGAATGGAAAGTCCATATGCACTACTATTTTTTAAAGGTGAAAACAGGGCTTTTCGGCATATTTTCAACATTTATATGCCTCGAATTTCTAAGAGTTTAAACTTATACTAAAATTCTGTACTACCCCTCTCTTCACTTTGGGTCTTCCGCAGAGCTAAATTTGGCCGCTATCCATATGCATTTATACTGGTAAAATTCCCAAGTTGTGTCTCTATGAGATTAAACACAGAGATCATATCTGGGAACCAGTAGGTAAACTAAACAAAATATCTATGAATAATATATATATCTCCCCAAAAGAGGCGTGATTTGTGAAACAGCTGTTTTTACAAAATGCAACCTAAAGAGCTGAAAAAACCAAAAAGAACAAAATGTCAAGCTAAATCAGGACAAGGAACGAATGAGATACATCTCTTAACAGGTATCACCAGGTACACATATTCATAATGCAACCATATGGGTTGAAGTGGTATAGTAATATGGTCACCTGAACTCACTTTCTGAAGGGGCGCCCAGTTTCGCCGTCATGTGTTGAAGGAGTGTCTTGCTACTTAGATATAAATAAAACATTTCAATAACACTTACACGGGTCTTACGCGTGCTATTTATTGAGTGTAACCTTTGCGTATTGGTAAATGTCGGTGAAACGAAAGGAAGGCTTAATAAACGTATGTGCGGCCATAGATCAGACATCAACAACAATGCAAGCGACATTTTTTACCAGTATTTCAATCAGCCTACTAGTAATCATTAACCTTTCTATACAAATATGTATCTTCAAAAAATATACCACAGGACTAACAATCTTCATCTTGCAACACCTCTCCGTAGACAAAAAGAAGACTACTGGATTCGACAACTGGGAACTGCAACACCATATGGTTGCAATGACAGAATTGATGCTATAGGTATTCTATCTAGTCCTTCCTGCTCGGTGAATGTCATGAACATTTTCAACTCTAATCCTCGACGTAGACGCAGTTATGGTTATCGTCATTGTACATCACCTTCTCTCCGTGATGTCTCTATTAATGACCTGTTGCCAGTTATACAAAAGCCGTTAGGTATTCATCACATTCGCACGAAGCTTTATTCATTACCTCTTTAAAACCTTCATTCTTTGTACAACCTATGTTTGGAAACCACTGTTACAAACCCCAATTCAAGCCTATACAAACTTACAGCTATCATCTCGGATAATGTAAGTCAAAAACTTTTAAAACCAGTTCGCATTGGAAAGATGAAAAGGAGAAAAGATCCTTTTTAAAACTTTCCTTCACCAAAAAAGGTATCGATGCCATGAACTTGGGCAATATCCTTCTTCATAAATCAATTCAATCGACAATACCTCTCTATTTTAAATATCAGTCTGTACCTATCATTTCTTATACCTATATCAAACCAATTGCAACTAAAAAATTTTAATTAAAATCACGTGTTGCAGGATCTCAATACTTCAATCCTAAACCTCCTGATTGCAATTGTGCTAGTTTCCCATTCATATATAATTCGACTGGCCACGTTATTACTGGTGACCTAAACATTGTCAATAACACTTCTCTGCGAAATGTGTTATCCAAAGACCCGAAATATCATGAGCCTAAATCCATCAATTGGAAACACAACTTCAAAATTCTGATAGATTCAGTCAAGGATTATGCCAGGCAATGGGTAAAACGCGAGAAATAAGACGTAGATACTCTTTCCGAATGGATTGAGGCTGTGAGGTCGTTGGTACAAATCAGAATTAAAAAACTGAATGGGTCTATAAATACCTATGCTACATAGATCTTTACAGACCCATATGTTGAAAAACACCTGGCCTACCTCTATGACAAATATGTTGTCCCCGCAGATAAAGCTTCAAAACATCGTTTTGTGTGTAAATCACATTAAATAAACTGCTTGATAAATGAATTAGGTATTGACAATTCACTTCGAAACTCAACATATACCCCATGACACTTACCAAGGAATAAATCCTGGATAATCATAAGTCTGTTCTATGTTCCTTTGGAATTTCAACCAAAGAGGAAGAACTGGATCTTCTTTCATTGTATTTGATACCTAAAACATAAGTGTCCTTATAAACAACTTTTATATTGCTGGGTCTTCCAAGTGCTTAACGAAATCTTTTTTTAATAAATTATTAGCATAAATTTTATCAGCAATCAAAGCCGGACTTCAAAGTTATTGTGAAACTACCTATTTTAAAGGTGGCGTGAATCAGATGTGGAAACTAATCTAAGACTCTTTCATCTTGCAATAGTATTAAAACTATTGACTTTTCTACACTTTATACAAGTATTCTCCGTTTAAAGACTTGGTCCTGCATTGTTTCATAAAAAAGAATGGCCTACGTAGATACAAGTTTCTTGTCTTAGGGAGTGATAAATCGTACTTTGTAAAAAATCACACAGGAGCAGTCATTTGAATGACTCTTTAGGTGACTTAGAGATTCTCTGAAACTGACATTAGCAAGATGCTTGATTTTTTTATTGACAACATATTTGTTACATTTGGAGGAAGTGTTTTTTAACAAACAATCGGCATTACCATGTGAACCAACTGTGCTCCTCTTCTTGCATATTTGTTCCTTTATTCATATGAGGCTGACTTCATATATGAACTTCTTAGAAAGAAAAAAAGAAGTTAGCAGTATCTTTTAACTCACTTTCCGCTATATACTAGTATATGATAATTTCTCACTAAATAATTCAAAATTTGCTGACTCTTGAACGCATTTATCCCATCGAACGTGAGACAAAGGACACAACAGATATAGTTAAATCTGCCTCATATCTTGACTTAAATCTAGAAATTGACAACGATGGTCGGTTAAAAACAAAACTTTACGACAAAAGAGATGATTTCAGCTTCCTAATTGT